GGAGGTACTCGCCTCCCCGGATCCACGGAGGGGCAAGACGGCGACCGTAACCTCCTGTCGTTCCCTCTCTTCTTCTTCCTCAGCTACTTGGAGTGCGAGGGCCATTTCTTCATCAGCGGCAACTTGTTCGAATTCTTCAGCCTCCAGCTCAACCCGAAGGTTACTCTGTACCTCCTCGGCCACGGCAAGGTCATTATTGGTCGAGGACTGCTCGCTCGATGACTCCGAATCAGAAAAGCTCTCTACTGCAGCTGAGGGCTCCCTTGAATGGTTCTGGGAATCGCTTGTTGATGACATCCTTCGGAATCGAGAGAACGCAGGTATGGAAGGAAGAAAGGATACTAGGGGTTTCCCAGGAAGGCTCTAACACTTAATCTAAGAACAATAGAGCAAAGTATGCTAGAAGAATCGAAGAACAGTGAAGAACTGACCTCGAAACTTGGGGTTTGATCGAACAGGGCTTTCTCTCTCTAGAAAACAAAAGGGCAGAGCTTCGCTATCAAAAAATCGCACAAGGAGAATGACCTCTGGCTTGGGTATTTATAGGGAATGGGCCTCGATATATGGGCCTCCGTTTAAAAAAAAAATCATCATTGCACGCCGCCTCATTCCCCAATGGGTGACAACCGCCCACCGTCAGCCAACGCCAGCTAGCCACATCAGCTCCTCCTCCAACGGCTATATTACAACGGATATATTTCGGCAACACCGGCGTGCCCTCGGATGATAGTCTCCGGCTATCGCTTTCGGAGCCTTCAGGCAACGAATTCCACCAAACGCCTCGAGCTTGCGGCAGCATAAGCACCTAGCTTGTCAATGTTGCCACCCCTCGAGTTTGCATCAACACATCATAACTCCTTCAGCCCGAACTAGCCTTCGGCCAAAAGGAGTGGGGGACTGGGATACACCCCTCGGGAATCACACACTAAATACACAAAGATTCCCAAATGCGACAAATTCGCAAGTGATGCATACAGCCTCCGGGCAAAAATCAAAGTAAAAGCCCTCGGGTACATACTTCTCTATACCCTTCGGCAGAAGCAAAATATCAAAAATTGCCCCACAAGTCACTAGTGGTGATGAAGCAGCTTTCATCACAACACGTGCAGGCAATACATCTATGCTTTCCTCAGAAAACCCTCGACATGTGAGGGACTGAGGAAAGCCTTCTGCGGTCATACAGGTGTTGTGCTGCCCTCAGAAAGCCCTCGACATGTGAGGGACTGAGGGGAAGCCTTCGGCAATCAGGAGAAGACAAGTTCTCCAGCAAAGGCACCCAGCGAAATGATGAAGCCTCCAGAAGAAGCAACACATCTACTCCTTTTCCCTCAAGTACCTTTCGGCAAAAGGAGTGAGGGACTCCTGATGGAGTATATGGCCCAGGAACCCCCGGCCCATAGACTCCTATTTCTCCTACACAAGTCCATTGAGTTCAGGAAACAACTCAGGCCCAAATACAACGGCCCAAGCCTCAAAGTAGCCCAGAATACACACTGGGGTGCCTTCGGCCTCCTTGGCCGAAGGCTCCAAAACTCACAGGATAGCCTTCTCTGGCACAAGAAGCTGCTGGGAGAAAACGAGCGAGGACATGAGCCTTCGGCATTCTCATGCCCTCGGCACCAGGGGAAGCCTTCGGTTGAACCAAGCCCTCGGCTACACAAGAAGCCCTCGGCTACACAAGAAGCCCTCGGCTACACAAGAAGCTCGTGGCTACACAAGGAGCCCTCGGCTACACGAGGAGCCCTCGGCTACACAAGGAGCCTTCGGCTGAACAAGGAGCCTTCGGCTGAACAAGCTCAATCATCGAAGATTCCTTTTAGAGACAGCCAACCACCGCATTTAATGCCGCGTCGCATCCACCAACCGCATTCAATGCGGTTGACGTACCACTGCCGGTGCCACCAGGCTGATGTGACCCTTCGGCCGTTGGATTACTGACACGTGTCCTCTCATCACATTTATTGCTGCTATAAATAGCAGCCCATTTCTCCTTGTAAATCATCATCTACATCTCAACTCCACACGCTGAGTTCATTTAATAAAATCGACTCTCTCTCCTCCTATTTGCTCTGACTTCTCTCTAAGTTATTCCCGCAATAACCCCTCGGATAAGATACCCCCGGATAGACTATCCATCAAGCACTTTGATAGTTAGAACAGTATAAGCAGGCTGATTGGAGATCCAGGGGAAACAGGTTAAGAGCTGACACAAACCGGGTCTTATTCAAACAATTCGGTTCAGAGAGTTGAGGGATTTGATGATATCGTAAAAGATGGGCATTGTCCACTCCTAAGGGGAAACGGTTATTCTTTGTGATAATGAGCAAAAAAAAATATTCATCAATATGATATGAGAGTCAACCACCAGAACGTACATTTCTGTATTTGCATTAGCATTATTTTTTAAGGGGAAGTAAGCCCCCTAACTACACATATTGACTAAATCACATTGGTGTTAAAAAGAATGAAAGAAGACAACACTGCAATTTAAATATTGTACACTAAATGAAACTTGTGGGGGGAACTTAAAACATTTTTCTCATTTTTCCCTGAGTAAACTTATTGCTTGAAACCAGCTCCAAAACTACCAAGCAAATAGGAAACTTATTGCTTGAAAGAGAAAAGGCAATTTGTCAAAAATTCTAAGAGTAAAGATAAAGATTCTAAGTCAGAGATAAAGATTCTAAGTCAGAATCTTCAAATAAACACCACAAGAATTTTTAAACAGAGAACAAAAAAACATGCTTTCTCCACTGACTATGGCTGTCACTTTCTCCGTACCATGAATCAGCTGTAAACATGATAACCATACAAAATGCGGCTTTAAAATGAAGCAGGAGAATGGCCTGAATGAAACCCTAGGTCAAAATAGATTATCATTTTCATAAATAAAAGAAAAACACTATCTATGCAACGTATAGTGGTCGTATTTCATGTGATTGAAGGGAGAAGAGGGAATTTTTACCAGAAAATCGGGATTTAACTTTTCAGCCCTATCGTTGGAAAAGTGAAGATTTGAATTCCCAGAACTGGTGCAGACGTGGAGATGAAGAAAGTGTTTTTGTAGGCGACGTTGGTAGCTAAATCGGTGCGGGTGGGCGGCTGAAGAAGAGAGAAGGCAGGAAGAGTGGCAGACATATCTTAAGCTCGGGCGATAGGTCGAGGGAGAGAAGGTAAACACGAGTGAATTGAAGCGTAAGTGAAATTACGGATCAGCCTTAAACGCTTAGGCGGGAGAATTTTCTCTCTCCAGCGTAGTGCTTTTAGGTATAGGATTTCGAAAACTAATGCAATGATTTAGTTTACCTTTGTTTAGAGGGATATTTTCTACTTTTAACTTTATTCCCTAAAAATTTTTGTTAAAGAGATAGGAGTACATGCTCAAAAATTGTTACATTTAACATTACTAGTATTCAAAATTTTAATTGTAAATAATATAGATCATGTAGTTGGAGTGTTAGACCCGCCACTGCTGGTGTGGGAGAGGAGATTGAGGGACGCTGCATATCTATTAGGTCCTTAATGGCATATGGATTGACTCATTGATAAAGGGGAGAAGAAACATGAACTCAACTTGCAATATTATACGGAGTAGTTATTTGGTATTCTGGTTCTTGACAAACTGTACAACTGTACATGTATATATCACTGACAAATTGACAATCTAACTGTAAAAAGTGATCCACGGGAAAGATATAAAGTACGGAGTATATACATAGTACGGAGTACTATGTAATCATCTCAAGCAGATTCAACTTCAACTAATATTCTCGATAACCAATACTCTCTCTGTATACAAATATGAATAAAAATGGTGGTCAACACTCATTACGGTTAAGAGCATGTAATATACAATAATATAAACTATTGTTAAAAAAACAGATACAGGAGGTATAGATGCTGGCACAGTATGCTCCATGATTATTACTTACCAGCTTAAGTGAGTGACAGAAGTTAATTACACACAAAAATTGAAAAAATTGAATCATACTCCGTGGTTGAAACATTGGGAAGAATATTGATCTTAGAGAGAGAGTTTGTTCATGCTGCTAGTATTTCTAGATATTCCCTGATTTGTTCTATGATCCTCTTTCTCATTGTATGGGATTTCTCGGGAACAAGAGCTTGCCTCTTCATTATCAGAACAACCTGGCCTCTCGGTCAGGAATTGCTCCCAGAACACATCATTCACACGAGCTGGAGGTGCAGCAGGCCCTTGCTTATCACTTGGTGCTGACTTATCATCGGAGTCATCAATGGAAGGGTAGCTGGATTTTTGTGGAGAGCTACGATCTTGGAGGTTGCAGCCTTCGATGCAGGATTTTGACACTGAACATCTAACCATATCACTTGTTTGTGGTAATAAAGAAGATGCTAGGGTAAGGTTCAAATGGCAGCACATATGGTCATCAACTTCCTCGTTGGTAGTAAATGAATGTTGAAATGAGTTAAGTTTCGGACTAGTGACTGCACTGGCTTTGCTGGTCAAAGATGAATCCATCATTAGCGTAAATGATGTCCCTGTATCTGAAAGCTCTACTGTTTCTGGGACACATATAGGAGCATGAGCAGTTCCCATTTGCAAATCATTTGGCCATCCTTCTGATACTCTCCTTTCTGGAATGCTTCCCCCGTCTTCGTTTGAGCTTTGAGTGCTATGAGAAAGGAAATTAACATCTGAAACGGCTGGGGATAACTCCAGACTCAGCTTATTTGAGAGATCTTGACGGCAAATGTTACCAAGCTCAGATCTGCAACTGCTATGGTTGTCTACCAAGACTGTCTCTTCAACAGGAAATGAATGCTCTACTGCTAGAGGCAATCTTCTTTTCTTGGTATATGCTGAAAAATCCATGGATTCTAGTTTTTTAGCAAGGCACTGAACAAACTTAGGATTTTGGACAGCTTTCTTGAAATATGCCAACAAATTTTCTTGTCTTTGCTCCATATTACCAACCCGCTGAGTTAGTTGTTCAAGCTGCTGCTTTGCAGTGGACTGTTGCTGTTTGGAAGTTAAGAGGTTAGCCTCAAGTGTGCTCTTCTCATGAGTAAGCTTATCGATTTCTTCCTCAAATGCAGCTCTTTCCGGATCTATTGCAGAACCTGGAGGATGACTATGACTGTGAATTGGTTTTCTGCGGTGGATATTCTTAAGGAGATGCTTTTGGCCTCTCATAAATTCTTCATTAGCAAATTCCCATCTTTCCGAGTCAATCTTTCGGAAACCCTGTGAAAGAGAACAGAGATTTATCATTCCTCATAACATTGCATGCTTTAACACATCATCAGCTTCCCTCTTGAGACCGTTAGCACTTTACCCATATGTACAAAGTCAACAAGAGAAAAAAGCGCCTGTGATGTAAGACAGTAAAAAATTTCCATTTATGCACATAATATGGTATCAATGTTTGAGAAAACTAACAATAGTATTCTTGTAGAGACATTAATGTCAACAAAAGTTGGAGGTAAACTAATATAAAGTTTTTCAAATGCGTGCCTATAGGAGTATAGGACCATGTTAAGAAGAAATTAATGTTATTTAGTACTTATGATTTTCTTAAATGGTCCTTGAAAATGGTGATTAATGCATAAACATTGGTGATAATTGTACTGAACTTTTAAATCATACATTAATTTTTAAAATTATTAAATTCTTTCTTGAAACTCGAGGATGTCACACATTAATTGCTTCTTAACATGTGCCCATGAGCACACAATAGCAGAACCCATCAACATATCAGAAGAGTTAGCTTTTGGGGTGCTGGGCATTAGCTTTTAGGGTGCTGGAAAAAAAAACCTAGAGGTGATTCTGAGATCCTGATGAATCTGAGATCCTGACTAAGGATTAATAGCAGAACCAACTGACACATGATTGTAAAAAAAAAGAACTTAATTGTCATTTTGCTTAAGGTATTTTGCTTCATTGCTAAAAAAAAGCTACTTTCCTTCAAAAACACGTTACAACGATAGCGCTATCAAACAATTTAGTCTCATAACCTTTTAGTTTTGCATTTAGTGAAGTAGATGTAAGAAAACACATAGTACTCAATTCTACTTTCGGTTCCTGTTCCGCTTCGTAGAAACAGCATTTACTGTGGCTCCAGAAAAACAGACCTAAACTTTCCTAAAGTCCAGAAACCACATGAAGGGAATTAGGGAAAAACAAACCGAAATACAGTATCCAGCTGAGGCTATACACCTCAATCTCCTAAAAACGATTCCCAGACAATACCTATTATTGATCATTTAGAATATACAATACCTATCTAACATAATTGAAAGAAAGAAGACCAATTTTTTATTCGTTCTTAGAGGCAGAATTACTAATCAACGAATTTCACTGAAACACCCCTCTCATCCCAAAGGCATACACCTCCATCCCCTAAAAGCGATACCCAGACATTCGCAGAGGTACTTACTGATTAAATTACGAGAATCAATCAAAGAAAATCTGGACTATTTTAGAAGAATTTAATCGATTAGATGACAAATGGTGAGAACAGTGAAACGAATGACATACATAGGTGTTGAGCTGACGAATAAAACTTGAGAAATTGTTGTGTTTGAAGTAGGTCGGGAGGAGAACCCGCGCAAATTCGGGAGGGTTCCAAACCACGAAGCTGTGGCCGTCTGGAGTCCACTGCACTATGTCGTCGGTAGCCGAGTCGTCCACCATGTCATAGGTCTTCAGAAGGAACGGAGCCGGACCTCCGCCGCCGCCGCCGCCCACGGCGGCCGCCAGCAGGGCAATCCCATCCATTCCGGTTGACTTTTGGCCTGCAAGTTGAACTATATTTGAAGCCGAATAGTCTTTAAGTAATTTACGCTTTTACACGGTTATGGCCAGTCTGTTGGCAATCCTTTATATCCTTTGCCGTATAAGACCAATTCAAATGTTACCTTGCTTACTTCAGTCGTGATCTAATATGCAAATTCTCTCCCGTCACCATAAATGTGTAACTAAGCTGCTGAGAAGAAGAGAGGAAAAGGGAAAGTGAGGACACGAACTTCCGATCATAACTTTTTATATAAAAAAAAAGGAGAAAAATGTTTTTTAAGTTTGATTTAGTTGGGAGCTTAAACAATCAAACTAAGAAAAATTGAAAATAATAATCTCAACTATTGCTGGTCCGCTGAAAATAATCTCAACTATTGATTATTTTTGTATAATCCCAACAATATATACTATCCGCCAATAATGGTCCATGGTCATATATTACCTCTATAAAAAGTGAATTTTAAATAGAAATTAAGCGTAAAAATTAAAAGTTGAGATTATTTATAGGGATTACTTGTTATATCTCATCTCATCCACTTTAGAAACTACAAAAATTTATTCATAGGGACCATTATTGGCGGAAGGTCCCTAAAGTTAGGATTATTCTGTAATAAACAATAGTAGGGATTATTATGAGCGGACCACCAATAGTTGGGATTATTACTATCAATTTTTCCTACAAAATAAGCAAATGGTCGAACTAACTTAAAACGTGCATCCTCTTGTCCACTTATATAACAGGACTCTAAGTTTAATTCGATGGCCTATTTGACCCTTTAGCGTACGATTAATGTTTGTGCACAAGAGATCGAAGGAATGTTTGTGACTGCTTCTATTTTAAAATGTGATTTTTTAAAGTGATTATGGAAGAATAGTTTAATAGTAAAATGTTGATAGTACGGCGTTTAATAAAAAAATGTCTCTGAAAGAGTAAAAGTGAGTAATGTTTGATAAAATAAGTCTAATAGAAAAAGTGAAAACAATTTAAATCATCATTCAACTTGTTTCCAGCTTTTAGCCTTTAGGTGTTTAATTTAAGCAGAAGTTATCACTTGAAAATATCAATTTATCATTTAAAACAAAAGGCTGAAAAGCACCTCTTTTTAGTTTTTGCAAACATTCCTTAAATAAGGAGACTTGCACATTTCTTATTTTAACGAGAAAGCAACAATATTTTTAAAATATAGAGAACATAGAAATTGACAAAGTCGAGTGAAATACATTTAGTCATGAATATGAATATGTAATTTTTTAAAATACAAATAGAAAAAAGAAAATTTGCAAATTCGAATGAGACAGAGAGAGTAAAGAAGGGACGGAAGATAGTAGATATTAAAAAAGTCATTTTATTTCGAGTAGAAAACAAATTATCATCATTTGAAACAATTCATTGGGATTCACATAGAAATGAGGGGACTAGTGGACATTGTAACACTCGATGCGGTGAAATGGTCAGGAGAATGATTCTAAACTTTTGAAATTCATCAAACAAATGCTTTCTTTGAATGATTTTTCTAAAAGTCAATACAAGATATTTTTTCTTTTTTTAGCTAAAAAATTGATGGCACTTCCTAGTTTTATTTCTCTTTCTCTTACTCTCTTTTGTTAAGAAGAATGTAATTACCAAGAATTGTAATAAGTGTATTTTACACTATAAATAAGACATCTATCTGGCTGGGCTGAGTTAGCCAGTTTATTCTCCCAATTAAATCTTTCGGTTAATTACATTTTGCCCTAACGAACTGGTATCAGAGCGAGAAGGTAGTTACGAACTCGGGAATTCAAGATCGGCTATGGCGATGAATAGCTTTCCATCGAACCTCCCTATCCTTGATGGCAAGAACTGGCGTCGTTGGTCTATCCAAATGAAGGTGTTGTTTGGTTGCCAAGACGTTCAAGAGATAGTGGCTGATGGCTTTCCGGTGCTAACCGAGAATCCTACAGATGCGGAGAAGACTGCGTATGGCGAAAACAAGAAGAAAGATTGTAAAGCCATGTTCCTCATTCATCAGTGCGTCGATAACGCACATTTTGAGCAGATTGCCAGTGCAACGACTTCCAAAGAAGCCTGGCAGATTCTAGAACGAAGCAATGAAGGAGTAGACCAACTCAAGAAGGTCAAGCTTCAATCAATGCGGCGTCAGTATGAACTCATGAAGATGGAGTCCAATGAGAAAATTGAGGATTATATCAATCGTCTTGTGAGCTTGACCAATGACATGAAGTTATGCGGTGAAAAACTGTCTGAACAGAACCTGGTTGAGAAAGTGTTGCGAACCCTACCTCCCAGCTTTGATCATATTGTTGTTGCTATAGAAGAATCCAGAGATCTCACCACTCTGAAGTTGGAAGGCTTGAAAGGATCCCTAGAAGCGAATGAACACCGGATTCTTGAAAGGAAATATGAGAAGGGTCCGGATCAAGTGCTTCAAGTCCTAACTACCAAGAAATCATCTGGTAGGGGAGGATATAGAGGAAGAGGAAGGGGACGAGGCAGAGGTGGTTCCCAAAAGAATGACACCTCTTCTGATTACCAACAACATGATCAAAGCAAGGAAGGAAGTTCCAAAAGAGGAGGGTATACTCAGAACAAAGGTAGCAAGAAGAAGATCGATAGAAAGAAAATCAGGTGTTTCAATTGTGACAAGATAGGCCACTTCTCAAATGAATGCAGGGCACCAAGTCGCAGTAATCAATTCTTGGATGGCAAACAAAGTGAGGAGGTAAACCTGGTGCAAGATAATGAGAAAGAATCAGATGAAGAACCTGTTACCCTAATGATGACCACAATTTCTGATGATGCACAAACAAATACATGGTATTTGGACTCAGGCTGTTCCAATCATATGACAGGCCACAAAAACTGGCTTGTACATTTTGATGAAAGCAAGAAGAGTAAAGTAAAATTCGCGGATGATAGACTTATACTTGCAGAAGGTGCAGGGGATGTGATTATCAGGAAAAAGAATGGAACTGAAGCTATCATCACAGATGTGTTATATGTTCCAGGAATGAGGAGTAACTTACTGAGTTTGGGCCAGTTGTTAGAAAAGAAGTTTGAGATTCATATGAAGCAGGGCATTCTTCATATTTGTGGACCAAATGGTAAGCTGATATTCAAGGTTCCTATGTCAAATAACAGGACCTTCCAGGTGCAAATTTCAGCAATAGAGAGTCAATGTTGTGTGGCAGAATCTGTAGCAATGGATCACTCTTGGTTGTGGCACCTCAAGTTTGGTCATTTGAATTTTAGAGACCTAAACAAATTGGGTACTCAAGGTATGGTTTCTGGAATACCTACAATAAAAAACCTGATAAGATTTGTGATAGTTGTATGATTGGAAAACAGGCTAGAGGAGTTTTTGGTGATTACCTACCTCCTAGGGCAACTGTATTACTGGAAGTTGTGTTTTCTGATGTTTGTGGTCCATTTGAGAATGCATCATTAGGGGGTAACAGGTACTTTGTTTCATTTATTGATGAGTTCAGTAGAAAAATGTGGGTATACCTGCTGAAAAACAAAAGTGAGGTGCATGATACATTCAGAGTTTTTAAGTGCATGGCTGAAAAACAATCTGGTTGTGTTATCAAGATCCTGAGAACTGATGGAGGTGGAGAATTCTGCTCCAATGAAATGATTATTTTTTGCAGAGAGAATGGCATAATACATGAGATTACTGCTCCTTATACTCCTCAGCACAATGGTGTGGCTGAGAGGAGGAATAGGACAGTTCTTAATATGGTAAGATCTATGCTTAAGAGCAGGAATTTACCTCAGTATTTGTGGGGAGAAGCTGTATCCACTGCAGTATACATACTGAACAGATCTCATACAAAAAGGTTGCCAAATCAGGTTCCAGAAGAGGTTTGGTCTGGAGTTAAACCCTCAGTGACTCATTTCAGAACCTTTGGTTGTTTATGCTACATGCATATCCCAGATCAAACAAGAAGAAAGCTTGATAACAAAGGAGAACCAATGATATTTGTTGGTTACAATGCTACTGGCTCTTACAGACTGTTTAATCCCAAAAAGAAGAAGATAGAACTCAGTAGAGATGTAATTTTTGATGAAATGAATAGCTGGGGTACTACTACTGACTCTGAAGACTTGTCCCAAGTTAGATTCAATCTTGATCTGTCTAGTTTAAATTTCTCAAATAATGACAATGCTAATGGTGATGGAGGCATTAGAGGTATGGTGCACACTGAGGAGTCACATAGCCGACCTGTCAGAAATAGAATGCTACCACATAGATTGAGAGATTTTCAGATACTCAGAGACTCAGAAATTGATGACAGAGGTGATCCTGTATATATGGCTTTGATAGCAGATATGGATTCTATCTGTTTTGAAGAAGCTGTACAACAAGATGTTTGGCAGCATGCTATGAAGGAAGAACTCAACTCTATCAAGAAGAACCGGGTTTGGGAACTAACAGATTTACCAAAAGATAAAGTTCTTATTGCAGTCAAATGGATTTATAAGATAAAGACACATGATGATGGGTCCATAGCCAAACATAAAGCACGTTTGGTGGCAAAAGGATTCATGCAAAAACTAGGGACTGATTATTCAGAGATTTTTGCACCAGTTGCTAGGTTTGAGACTATAAGAGTGATTGTTGCCATAGCAAGTCAGAGGGGTTGGACTTTATGACATCTAGATGTGAAAGCAGCCTTTTTGAATGGCTCACTTGAAGAACTGGTGTTCATTAAGCAACCACCAGACTTTGAAGTGAAAGGCAGGGAACATCTAGTACTTAGATTGAAGAAGGCTCTATATGGGTTAAAGCAAGCACCCAGGGCATGGAACAAGAGAATTGACCAATTTCTGATACAACTTGGCTTCAAGAAATGTATAGTGGAGCATGGGGTCTACATAAAAATGAAGGAATCAGGCTCCATACTATATATCTGTTTGTATGTAGATGATTTACTTATTACAGGAAGTCACCTGAGTGAAGTAGAAGATTTGAAGAAGAAACTGAAGACTGAATTTGAAATGACAGACTTGGGTGAACTGTCCTACTTTCTTGGCATCGAGTTTGTACACACAAATCAAGGAATAATCATGAGTCAGAAGAAATACCTTTCTAAAGTTTTGGAAAGGTTTGGGATGAAGGATTGTAATTCAGTTGATACACCAGTAGAAGTAAGTTGCAAGCTAGATAGTTGCAGTAATGAACCTAGAGTTGATGCAACTCTGTACAGACAAATGACAGGTTGTCTGAGGTTTATGTGT